GCCGACGTCGGGCAACACGGGCATCGGCTTGACCTCATGGCAGTCCCTTGTTCTCTTGTGTCCCTCTGGACCTCTCCCTTTCCTCCCCAGAGCGTGCTGGTTGAGCCGACGTCGGGCAACACGGGCATCGGCTTGACCTCATGGCAGTCCCTTGTTCTCTTGTGTCCCTCTGGACCTCTCCCTTTCCTCCCCAGAGCGTGCTGGTTGAGCCGACGTCGGGCAACACGGGCATCGGCTTGACCTCATGGCAGTCCCTTGTTCTCTTGTGTCCCTCTGGACCTCTCCCTTTCCTCCCCAGAGTGTGCTGGTTGAGCCGACGTCGGGCAACACGGGCATCGGCTTGACCTCATGGCAGTCCCTTGTTCTCTTGTGTCCCTCTGGACCTCTCCCTTTCCTCCCCAGAGTGTGCTGGTTGAGCCGACGTCGGGCAACACGGGCATCGGCTTGACCTCATGGCAGTCCCTTGTTCTCTTGTGTCCCTCTGGACCTCCTCTCCTTTCCTCCCCAGAGTGTGCTGGTTGAGCCGACGTCGGGCAACACGGGCATCGGCTTGACCTCATGGCAGTCCCTTGTTCTCTTGTGTCCCTCTGGACCTCTCCCTTTCCTCCCCAGAGCGTGCTGGTTGAGCCGACGTCGGGCAACACGGGCATCGGCTTGACCTCATGGCAGTCCCTTGTTCTCTTGTGTCCCTCTGGACCTCTCCCTTTCCTCCCCAGAGCGTGCTGGTTGAGCCGACGTCGGGCAACACGGGCATCGGCTTGGCGTTCATAGCAGCGGCGAGGGGCTACAAGCTCGTCCTCACCATGCCCGCCTCCATGAGCCTCGAGCGCCGCGTGCTGCTCAAGGCCTTCGGGGCCGACCTCGTTCTCACGGACCCTGCCAAGGGTATGAAGGGCGCTGTGGCCAAGGCGGAGGAGATTGTGAAGGGCACCAAGAACGCCTACATGCTGCAGCAGTTTGAAAACCCCGCCAATCCCAAGGTAGAATTTTCAAGCTTTCATGTTTTCTAATAAATCCTCGGTTTTGGAGGGGCTGGGCTTGTTCTGAGACGTTTTATGCATGTCACTGCTTTGGGACGCTTTGGTAGCTTTGGAAGGCGTTTGGGGCGGACCCGGTGCTCGCAGACCTGTTGGGGACCCGGTGCTCCGGGACCTGAGGCTTTTGAGACGTCTCAAAACTCGGGCCGGGTGTTCCGGGACCCCGCCAAGGGCATGAAGGGCGAATCGTGCTGCCACTTTCCTCTGGTTGATGTTCTTTGCCTCGGATTTTTCTATGTGGCGTGATGCAGGTGCACTTTGAGACAACGGGGCCTGAGATCTGGGAGGACACTAACGGGCAGGTGGACATCCTTATAGCGGGGATAGGCACGGGCGGCACCGTCACTGGCGTGGGACGCTACCTGCGCAGCAAGAAGCCTGGCGTCAAGGTGCGTGTGATTGTACCGAGGGGGAGAGGGGGCGCTAGCACTAGTATGTGTCAATGTCCGCACTGGTATGGGCGTTTGAAGAGCAACCTGTTTCTGTCCGCACTGGTATGGGCTTTTTCCACCAGTCTTTATCTTCCCTTCTTCCCTGTCCCCGCTTCCTGCCTACCCCCTTCCCACCCGTTTTTCCACCTTCCCGGAAAGGTGGAAAAACGGGTGGGAAGGGGGTAGGCAGGAAGCGGGGACAGGGAAGAAGGGAAGATAAAGACTGGTGGAAAAAGCCCATACCAGTGCGGACAGAAACAGGTTGCTCTTCAAACGCCCATACCAGTGCGGACATTGACACATACTAGTGCTAGCGCCCCCTCTCCCCCTCGGTACAATCACACGCACCTTGACGCCAGGCTTCTTGCTGCGCAGGTAGCGTCCCACGCCAGTGACGGTGCCGCCCGTGCCTATCCCCGCTATAAGGATGTCCACCTGCCCGTTAGTGTCCTCCCAGATCTCAGGCCCCGTTGTCTCAAAGTGCACCTGCATCACGCCACATAGAAAAATCCGAGGCAAAGAACATCAACCAGAGGAAAGTGGCAGCACGATTCGCCCTTCATGCCCTTGGCGGGGTCCCGGAACACCCGGCCCGAGTTTTGAGACGTCTCAAAAGCCTCAGGTCCCGGAGCACCGGGTCCCCAACAGGTCTGCGAGCACCGGGTCCGCCCCAAACGCCTTCCAAAGCTACCAAAGCGTCCCAAAGCAGTGACATGCATAAAACGTCTCAGAACAAGCCCAGCCCCTCCAAAACCGAGGATTTATTAGAAAACATGAAAGCTTGAAAATTCTACCTTGGGATTGGCGGGGTTTTCAAACTGCTGCAGCATGTAGGCGTTCTTGGTGCCCTTCACAATCTCCTCCGCCTTGGCCACAGCGCCCTTCATACCCTTGGCAGGGTCCGTGAGAACGAGGTCGGCCCCGAAGGCCTTGAGCAGCACGCGGCGCTCGAGGCTCATGGAGGCGGGCATGGTGAGGACGAGCTTGTAGCCCCTCGCCGCTGCTATGAACGCCAAGCCGATGCCCGTGTTGCCCGACGTCGGCTCAACCAGCACGCTCTGGGGAGGAAAGGGAGAGGTCCAGAGGGACACAAGAGAACAAGGGACTGCCATGAGGTCAAGCCGATGCCCGTGTTGCCCGACGTCGGCTCAACCAGCACGCTCTGGGGAGGAAAGGGAGAGGTCCAGAGGGACACAAGAGAACAAGGGACTGCCATGAGGTCAAGCCGATGCCCGTGTTGCCCGACGTCGGCTCAACCAGCACACTCTGGGGAGGAAAGGGAGAGGTCCAGAGGGACACAAGAGAACAAGGGACTGCCATGAGGTCAAGCCGATGCCCGTGTTGCCCGACGTCGGCTCAACCAGCACACTCTGGGGAGGAAGAAGGGAGAGGTCCAGAGGGACACAAGAGAACAAGGGACTGCCATGAGGTCAAGCCGATGCCCGTGTTGCCCGACGTCGGCTCAACCAGCACACTCTGGGGAGGAAAGGGAGAGGTCCAGAGGGACACAAGAGAACAAGGGACTGCCATGAGGTCAAGCCGATGCCCGTGTTGCCCGACGTCGGCTCAACCAGCACGCTCTGGGGAGGAAAGGGAGAGGTCCAGAGGGACACAAGAGAACAAGGGACTGCCATGAGGTCAAGCCGATGCCCGTGTTGCCCGACGTCGGCTCAACCAGCACGCTCTGGGGAGGAAAGGGAGAGGTCCAGAGGGACACAAGAGAACAAGGGACTGCCATGAGGTCAAGCCGATGCCCGTGTTGCCCGACGTCGG